TTAGCCCAGTGAGGAATGGCCTTGCACTTATCCCTGAAATAGACAGCTCTTCATCCTTTGGGCTGGCTCCACAGCTTTGGGGTAAGTGATTATCTTTTTCTAATAATGATAGTCATTCTTCCGGGGGGGGGGGGTCAGTCATGGGCCTCCTCCCCCAAACAGATGCTCAGAGACTAACCAAGGAAGTCACTTCTCAGAAAGTGGAGTTTCTTTCTGGAGAGTAGAATTAATTCTATACCTACACAGTTCCTTTCATTGTTCTGGGTAAAGGTTAACTCAGATGAGCCAGGCACCAAGAAAAGGAAATTTGTTCCATTCCAGGGAAGGCCTATATGACCCTGAATCACCACTGTGACTTTAGTAATAACTGCCTAGGGTGATAATCCCCTTGTAATTTATTGCTTTTAATCGGTAGTAGGATGGGAAATTAAATATAACCCAGCTTGTCAGAATTGTACCTAAACTATGAGTCAATAGGCTCTGAGGAATTCTCCCATGAGTAAAGAGCCTTAGCTTTCTAGTGCAGAGAGCCACTTTGGCCAATTAGAGAGCCTGACTTGTTACTTCCCATTTCTCAGCTGTGTTTGAAGTCAGGCATCTCTGCAGATTCAGAGAACTGAAGACTCTCAGGGTCCAGATGGAATTTAGGGAACATTTAATTAGATCCCCTCATCTCAGATTAGAGAAAATCTAAGTCCAGAGAGCAGAAGCCCAGGGATGCCATGGTCAAAAGAAAAAAATTAAGTGAGACCTGAAGAAATTTGGGGCAGCTAGAGGCCACAGAGTATAGAGTACCTGGCCTGGAGTCAGGAAGACTCCTCTTCCTGAGTTCAAATCTAGCCCTAGACACTTACTAACTGTGTGACCCTGGGCAAGTCACTTAACTGTTTGCCTCAGTTTTCTCATCTGTAAAATGAGCCAGAGAAGAAAAATGGCAAACCACTCCAGTATCTTTGCCAAGGAAACCCCAAATGGGGTCACAAAGAGTCAGACACAACTGAATAACAACAACAAAAATGAGGTTATAACTAAGTAATTGCTAATGAGAACTGGAAAAATAGTCTGGGCTTCCTAGTTTGGGGGAAAGGAGATATCACTGTCCCAAGGCACTCAGATTTTAGTTCTTACTGTCAATTCCTTTCTCATAATCCGATCTCTTTAGATCTCATTCATTTTTTCCACCCATGGCCTTGGCAACTCTGAGCCTTCCTTCTCCCTCTATCAGAGTGAGTCTGACTAGGTCAGGGGCTCTCAATCTCTTCTAGTCCTGAACCCCTTTGGTGGGGTAGGGAAGCTTTTGGACCCCTTCTCTGAATACTGCTTCTCCATAGTTGAAGGAAATGCTAAATGTCAAAGGTTTGAAAAAATAAAATTTTCCCCCATCCAAGTTCATGGACCCCCTGAAATCTAGCCTTGGGAGGGGTCCGTAGACCCCAGGTTAAGAACCCCCGGCCACTACGTGATGGCTGAGATGCCTCCCAACACTGAATTCCCCGAATGGGCCCAGCTGTCACCTCCAAGCTCACTGCCAAGGGCAGCCCAGCAGGAAGCCAGCCCCATCACCATGCAAAAAGATTTCCTCATTTTGATCGAAAAGTTTAATTCTGCAATTGCCGGAGCCAACAGAAAGAATGCTTTTTGAACTGTCCTCCTGCTGGGCAGCCCATCCGCCTGCATTCTGGTCCTGCGGGATCTTCATTTCTTTGATTCTTTTAAATCTTAGAAATGCTACAAGTCGGGTTTAATTTGCAAAAACAATGCGGAGCCGCATGCGGCTTCTGACATGAATACACTATTCGTGCTTTCTTTCACTAACCCAACGAACCACTGATTAAGGGCCTACTACGCACGAGGCGAGGCAATAAGTAAAGATAGGACAGAAATGAAAACTCCTGAGACTTTGCTTTACGTTTGAGAAATCTCCAGCATAGTCAACAGCGAGTGAGTGCAAACAACCCAGAAATGATTATTTACTGAGCGTTTCAGGGAAACGCAGGCCAAAAGTAACGCCACTTGGTGAGAAATGGCCCACCTGCTACGGGAATGGCGGGTAAGATGTCCCGCCTGAAGCCGAGCTCTAACCCAAGCAATGCTGAGGGGCACCAGCCTCCAGCCTTCTCTGGGCATGCTCTGGGCCCGGCTGCTTCACCTCAGCCGTGCAGACAGTAAACGCAAGCCCTAACAAAGATTATTTCACCAGGGCCAAGCAGGCAGACCCCCCCTGAATGCAACCCTTTTCTTCAGGGGCCCTTCGGCACATCTCAGAGAAGGGCTGAGCCTTATCTAGGGTCCTTCTCCCTCCACCCAATTTGCCCCAGTCGCGGGCCCGGTTCCATTTGGGCTTTACAACAGAACCTCATCTGGGTCTTTGGGTCTCCATCCACTGAGCTCAGTGCAAGTGAGGTGTAAAGAGCGCCAATCCCCCCCCGCCCCATCTATTCTCCCTGAATCACCTTGAGCACTCTACAACTGAATCGCCATTAAGAGCAGCCGGACCCGTCTATACCTTCCCCTCATATCCAGCGCCGTCCCCTTAAGAACACTCCTAGCAAAGCGTGTAACTTGGTGAGCTGGCCGCCCCGTCTACATCCTTCCCTCAGACCCAGCTGCTCCCTCCCTTACACACATTTCCTTCTCTCTGGAAAACGGGTAACAGCGGGCTGCCCGCCCCGTCTAGGTAGCCGAAGTCGCGATCGTGCTTTGCCAGGGTCTGCGCTCTCCTGATCCCACACCCACCGCCTCCTGCCCACTCTGCGGGCCCGTTTGCCCACGAGTGTTTTAGAGCTGGGCCAGAGCTAGGTTCCCGCTCGGCCAGTCCCTTCGCCCCGCTCCGTGGCAAGCTGCCTGCCCCGTCTAGGCAGGACCCCAGTCTAGCCTTACCTCCCCCCATGAGAAGCGCATTGACTCCCTCTTGCCCCCTCCACTGAGCGCATCAAACCGTTGTCACAGTTACGGTCACGGTCACAGTCACAGGCGGGCCCCAGTCCAAAGCCTAGTTATGGGCTGCACCCTGTGCCCGCCTCACACGCATTCACTCACACCTCCAAGCCCCGCACGCACGCTGCTTGCAAGCCTCCTGAGTCCCAGACTGCCGCAGCTCCCGACCGAATCCCGCGAGCGTTCGGGAGTGGGGCTCCCCTGCGGGGTAGGGGGGAGGGAAAAGGAAGGCCTCTTCGTCCTGTCCCGATGTGTGAGGTGCGTGGGAAGCTCGTCTGCCAAACTCGTGGGTCGGGGAAAGCTCACCTGGGTGGGGGTGGGGGAGCCAAACTTTGCTTCCCCATCCCCCCGCCGGTGATTGTCAGCCCGCCCTTCCGGGGTCCCCTGCACCTGCCCCACAGCCCAGGGAGGAGACGGCGCCAAGCAAGGCGTGCTGCAGGTCACTTCGAGGGACCAGCCCAGTCAGAGCCCCTGGGGAAGCCTACCTAAGGTTTGCTTAGCGCTTCCTTCTCAAAGTCCTAGGAGGTCTGTGTGACCTTGGGCACTTCACTTCCTTTGCAGTTTTCTCTTCTCTAAAATGAAGCAGTTAGACTAATTGACCTCTGAGGACCTTTCTGGACCCACCCTATTGGATGGATGGACAATGAGTTACATTATCATTATTCGTCTACACGCAGAGAGAGACAGATAGACAGAAAGCCTCTCATCTCAGAGATCTGACCTCAGACACATTAGCTGCGTGGCCCTGGGCAAGTCACTTCACCCTGTTTGCCTCAGTTTCCTCATCTGTAAAATGAGCTGGAGGAGGAAATGGCAAACCACCCCAGTTTCTTTGCCAAGAAAACCTCAGATGGGCTCATGGAGAGCTGGATGTGATTGAAATGGCTGAACAATGAAATATATATACGTATACACAGACACAACCATACACATGTACATATACATATATACACATACAAACACACACACACACACACACACACACACACACACATTCACAAGATCCCCAGATTATAGAGTTGGGATCCCTAGTCCCAGACCTCAACTGCAAAGAGTTAGACTCAAAGAAAGAAGATCTGGGTTTGTTCGTTTCATGACTGACCCAGCTGTGTGACCCCAGCAGATGCTTCACATGTAAAATGAGGATCACGTGACCTGTAGGAGCCACACTGGTTATTATGAGGCCCAAAGGAGAATAGGGGGGCAGTAGAAAAGTCTCCAACCCAACCTTTTCATTTGACCATAACATGAAAATTCAAAGGATCCTTTGGCAAAACGTTTGAGATCACAACCTGAGTCTTTTCTGTGGGACTAGAAGAAACCTCAGAGTCCATTTAACCCAATCTTTTCATCTCACAGGGGAGGAAACTGAGGCCCAGGGAGGATGTGACTTGTGACCAAGGTCAAACAGAAGGTGTATCAGAGGAGGCAGGTTTTGAACTGAGGTCTTTTTCAAGTCCAAAGCTTCTTTCCAATGACTTCCAGAAGTTTTTTGTTTCTCTTTCCTTTCCTTTCTTTTTTCTTTTCTTTCTTTCTTTCTTTCTTTCTTTCTTTTTTTTTTTGAAGTGTGGTGATTAAGAGGGAGTCCATTGAAAGGAAATTTCTGCCAACCACAGAAATAATAATACTTCACCTGAAAACATGTTCCACTTTGGGGATTGTTTCCTATTAAAAATCACCCCCCACTGACCATAAATTTAGAGATCAGAAGGAACTTAGAGGCCATTGAATTGAATACTGTTCCTTCATTTTATACATAAGGAAAACAGCCAATGGAGGTGAGTGACTTGCCCACCTCACACAGTGTGGGAGCTGGGGATTCCAATGTCCCGTCTTCCTCCCTCTAAATGCAGGGCTCTATCCTCTATTCCTTTCACAAAGACCATAGACATGTGATGTCCTCAGAATTCAACTTGAAACTGACCACTGTGCATGTAGCCTGACCAACTGAGTATCATGGAACATGTGCGTGGTGATGGTTCCATTGGAGTAACTGCTTGACCCATGAAGCTCATGTCAACTTTGTCTTCCTTTCCCCTTTAGACATTTTTAGCTGAGGAGCCATGGAGGTGTGTCATGACTTGCCCTACTATTATGGACAACTGGAAGGCTCTGACATTTTGTCCAAAACTATGGCTTCCAATGAAATCCACACACCACTGCAAGTCCCAGCACGGATAACTGCATCAGAGGACAGGTAAGGCAAAAAGAAAGTCTCTTCCCTTTGGGAAGAGTCTAAGGCACTTGCCCATCTCAGCAGAAGTCTGGAGATAATGTCTGTCTAAGACCTGGATTCAAGTCTGGCTCTGCTATTTATATGCAACAGCTTGGCTAAGAAATTAAAACTTTCACTAAAAATGAGAAGAAAATTAATGAATTTAGCAAGGATGCAATTATTCAAGCAAGAGATCCGTGTGGGTCAATTAGCCAATACACAAATTTATTAAGTGCTTCCTATGTACCAGGCATTGTGCTAAGAGCTGGGGGAGGTGGGGCACAAGTAGTAGAAGGTGGGGAGGTACCATCAATAGACAAACCCTGCCTGCAATGAACATGCATTCTCTAGTTGGAGACAACGTGTGTTATTGTACATATATGAAAAATAAATACACATAAAATAAATTCCAAGTAATTTAGGGGGAAAGACATCAATAGGTGTGGTAACAAGGGTGGGGCAGTAAAAAGAACATAAATTTGGCACCTGAGCTCAAATACTGATTCTACTCTGTATTCCCTTTGTGACCCTGGATAATTCACTTCCCCTCTTGGGCCTCAGTTTCCTCCTCTGTAAAATGGGATGGGGCAGGGAAGTTGAATCAGTCCCCTCTAGCTCTAACATTTTGTGGTTCTGTGTTCATCATAGCCAAAGCCATGGCTATATTCTAATTGAGGCTGCAAGTTTAATAACAATAACAGTAATTAAATGTTTTGTCTTCATTCTGCAATCAAGTAAGTAAGCATTCAGAATGAATCTTGTAGCATCCACAGCCATTAGGAACTTTTAGAAAGGTGCTTCTTAAAATAAAAATGAGAAAACAGTATGCATCTGACAAAGGAGAAAAGCGATGACAAAAAATATATATTTTTATGTGTCCAATGAAAAGGCTGAGGAAATCCTGCATGTATCACCTCAAAAATGCTATGAGAACGCAGCATTTCATTGGGTTATTGTGCAAACCCGGCACAGACACCAGAAAATATATCCATCGATGAATTCTAGCCATATATAGCACATTCAGTGCCTCCCTTTATAAATTGACCTGTTAAGCAACTTTTCGTGGGGAAGGGGAAAGAAGAGAGGGCTGTTTTATAGATGTAGGAAACAAGAATAATATTTCACCAGGGTGTTACTCTTGGTAAAGGAATTCTGAGACTCTGTTGTTACTAGTTGTGGTCTCAACTCCCACCATGCTGGACAGTTCACAGTGCAGCTCATCACCGCAGAGGGTCACTCCATCTCATCAGCATTTCTCTTCCATCCTTGGTATCATCCTGACCCAGTTGTGATTTACTCATAAGTTTCAGGGTTGTCAAGCAAAATCCATAAATACGATCCTATAGCTAGAGTTGGAAGGGACCCATGATGACATCTAGTTCAACCTCTAATTTTACAAATGAGGCACCTAAGAGAAGGGACTTGGTCAGAGTCACCATGACTAGCAAATGACAGACCCAGGATTCATGATCTTAAATATAGTAGGAGGGGACCTTAGAGACCATCTACTCCAACCCACACCCATTTTACAGATGAGGAAAATGAGGCACCAGTAAAGAGTTCCTTGCTAGGACTTCCCTATGCCAATGATATCACAATACAATTTGGTTTAAAGAGTGATTTGAATATCTAAAGGGCTCTGTTGTATCTGTATGTGTGTATACACGTGTGTGTGTGTGTGTGTGTGTGTGTGTGTAGGGAGCAAAAGGACTTTTCCTTGTGGGGAAGGCCACATCAATAGGAAACCAGCCTGGAAGCCAGGAACAGCTGGGCTCAAGTCCCAACATATGCTGGCTACGTGATCAAGTAGGTCACTTATCTTGTCCAGGTACCAAGCAACTCTCAGGCTAGAAATTCCAGAGAAGATGGCCAAGCTGCATTGGGGGAGGAGGGTATTTCCTCCTGTGGTACTTCCCCATACTAAAGAAGTGGCAAGTATGAGAGAGAGAGAGAGAGAGAGAGAGAGAGAGAGAGAGAGAGGCAGAGAGACAGAGAAAGACAGAGACACACAGAGAGAGAAACAGAGACAGAGAGGGACATGAAAAGAGACAAAAAGAGAGGAGGAGAGAAGAGAGAGAGAGAAGGGGAAAGAGAGAAAGAGAGAGAGAGTGAGAAGGAGAGAGAGAGATGGATAGATTGATGGATTGATGGATGGATAGATAGATAGATAGGCAGACAGAACATAGATTGGTAGATAAATAAATGTAAATGATAGATACTTTGGTAGATATTAGTAGATATATAGATGACAGAGAGCAGCTAGGTGGTGCTACGGATAGATAGGGGCCTAGAAAGACCTGCTTTCAAATCAAACCTCAGACACTTACCAGCTGTGTAACCTTGAGGAAATCACCCCTGTTTACCTCAGTTTTTCCCCTTCTGTTAAATGGGGATAATAGTAGTACCTACATCGTAGGGTTATTGCAGGGATCAAATCAGATAATAATTGTAGAGCACTTAGCACAGTGCTATAGCAGTGTGCACATAGTAGGTGCTACATAAATGTTAGCTATTATTATTACTATGGAGACAGACACACAGAGAGAAGGATTGATATATGATGGATGGCTGGACAGACAGTGGGATAGAGAAAGGCAGACGGATGGATAAATGGATGAATAGAGAGACAGACAGACGTATATATTGATACTATTGAGTACATTCAGGGAAGTCAGGATGAGAGAACTTTCCCCACCGATGTAGATCTGTAGCTGACATTTTTCAGGTTTAAAGAGTCCCCCAGGGCACCGAGGGGTTCAACAGCGTGTTCAGGGTCACAAAGAGGTGGGATTTGAAGTCAGATCTTCCGGACTGAGCCTGGCTCTCTGTCCACAAGGCCTGCTGTGGAAGTCAGCTATGCTGGCAATATTGCTCATATAGGTAGCGCCCATTTCTGAGAAGCTTCCGAGTCTCCCCAACTTTGTTGAGCGCTGATCACATCCACGCCAGCCCGCGGTGGAGACTTTCTTTAGCGCAGGACAGCAGGTGATATGGGGGCACCCCAGAAATCACCTCCAGCCTCGCTGCGGGTCACTCCTGGGCCTCCGTGTTGGAGATAGGGGTGGGGTGGGGGGCTGGATGACCCCGTAGGCGCCCAAGACCTCTAAGTGCCTGTGGCTTTCTCCACACCCCCAGGACAGAATCGCTCAGCCTTAAGCACTCCTGGGCCCGCTTGTAATTGGGCTCATTGGGCACTAGGTGGCACTGTTGCTCGTCGGGTGGTGAGATATCTGCGCGATCTGGGTCCCTTTTAGAAAAATGTTGCTTTTGTACAATTTGACCAAATTAAGAGAAATAAAACTCCATTTAAGCAATTGGAGAAGAGACTGTTTGCAGCCAGGAAGCAGCGTGGCGTCAAGTCAAGCCCCAGAGGGGGAGGCGGGAAGGTCTTCAGGGCTTCTTCGCAGGGGTCCGCGATGCTGGCAGGGCTGGGGAGGGGGCATCCGTGAGCCTGGCGGGGAATAAGTTCCATCCCTGTTGTCCTTGTTCTCTACCGGAAACCCCGCGTCTCCTTCCATTTAAAAAACAGATTGGCAATTATTTTAATTTAAAAATACGATTCTGAGAAAGTGTACGTGAGCTTCACCAGGCGGCTGGAGGGAGGGGTCCAGGGCAAAAGAGATTAAGAACCCCCGGGGGCTCTGGTCCAGCCCCTTCGTTTCACCCAGGTGGAAACCAAAGGCCAGAGAGGGAGAGCTCCTGGCCTGAAGTCACACAGGGAGCAAAGCAGAAGCTCAGGGGCCGCTTTTCTGTGTGTATATGGACCCCAGCTCGTGGTACAGTGCCTTGCGTGTAGTAGGTGCTTAATCAATGCTCTTTGGGTCAAATCGGAGTAGTAAATAAACAGCAGAGCTGGTTGTCAAATCCAGGTCCTTTGACTGCAATCCTGTCGGGCTCATCAACCTTGTTTCTTTTTCTTCGTGGAATCCCTGACATTGTGGTCCGGTAGAAATTCTGAATGCTGGATTTTATAGTCAGAGGTTTTGTTGTTCAGTCCCGACTGGCTTTTGTGACCCCATTTGGGGTTTTCCTGGCAAAAATACTGGAGTGTTTGCTATTTTCCTTCTCCAGCTCATTTTACAGATGAGGAATCTGAGGCAAACAGGATGAAGTGACCTGCCCAGGGTCACACAGCCAGTAAGTGTCTGAGGCTGGATCAAGGTGAACCTTCCTGACTCCAGGGCTGGTGCTCTGTGCACTGTGAGTAAATATCAGATCCTGCTTTGGTCACTTGAGACCGGCATGACCTTGGGCAAGTCATTTAACCTTAACTTCCCTAATCCTCAGTCTGTAAAATGATGATTAGTTTAGGCAGCCTGTGAGGTGTCCTCCACCCCTCTGTGGGGGTCTCAGAGGCCCTCCAGTTCACTTGACAATGAATCTGATGAAGGAAGTATGAGCAGAGTGAGGGGTCTGCTCCTGGAGCCAGGAGAAGCAGGGTTTCAAGACAGCCTCTGACACCACAGGGCAATTAATTCCCTTGACTTTTCTGACCCTCAGTTTCCTCATCTTGTCAAGTGGAGATAATAACACCTCTCATAGCTACCTCATTGTGATGCTCAAATGAGGTAATGGGTGCAAAGTACTTTAGGAACTTCAAAGCATTATAGAAATGGCAGGATTGTTATTAACATTAATACAATTCTCTAAGCCAAGCTCAGTGGTACATTCTGTCATCATCTCAGCTACCAGGGAGACTGGGCCTGGTGAATCCCTGGAACTTGACAGCTCTGAGCTGCTGTAGGCTGTCCCAGTCAGGTGTCTGCTCTAACTTTGGCATTCACATGGTGTAAGCCCCCTGGACTGGGCATCTACCAGGTTGCCTAAAGAGGGGCAAACCAGCCAGGTCAGAAATGGTGGTGAAGGTCAAAGGCCCTCCGCCAATCAGAGTGAGATCAGCCCTGGGAGTAGCTCCCACACCGAAGCCTGGGTGAGACAGAGAGACTCGGTGTGTGGGGGAAAACAAGGCCTCTAGTCTTTGTTAAAGACCCAAGGTGAAGGGAAAACCCATCTCCTGCGGAGGCAGCAGTGCATTCCATTTGGATAACTCTCATTGTTAGGCATTCTCCCATGCTCTGTCCTCTGGGACCAAACAGAACGTGTCCATAGAAACCCTCCATTCTCATCCCTCCAATACAAGAGATTCCTGCAAATACTTGAAAACATCTGTCGAGGTCCCCCAGTCCAGTCCCCAGCTCTGCCCCATCTTGGCTGGGAGACCTCGGACGTGTCTCTTCAGCTCTCAGTGACCGTAAGTGACTCCCTGACACTCTCGGGGACAACCAGCGGCAGATCTCCAGTGGCAGAGGCTGTTCCCTCACTGGGAGCTGCCTACGCCAACTATAGAAATCATTAAGCTCTGACTCCATGCCAGGCCCTGTGCCAAGCCTTGGGGATACGAAGAAAGGCAGAAGAACTCGGCCTCTGTCTGCAAGGGGCTCGTGTTCTAATGGGTGAACAACCGTGTACATAAGGCACATCGTATAAGGAGAAAACCGCCCATCACAATGCCAGACAAAATGATAACGATGAAGAAGACGATGATGATGATGATGATGATGAAGGGGATGACAGTGACATTTATGGAATGCCTTAAGATTTTCCAAGTGCTTATGATATGCCAGGCGCTGGACTGGATGTTGGGCACACAAGCACAGACATGAGAATGGTCTCTGCCCTTAAGGACTGAAGACCAACACTTAATCCAATGCAGTGATCAGTTTTCCCAGAATCTAGCACAGTGCTGGGCACATGGCAGGTGGATGCTTAATAAATCCTTGCTGTCTGGTCAGTGGTGGCAAAGGAATAAAACCCAGGCTTCTTGCTTCCAAACCTGGTGTTCATTCTACTGTGCCTTCCTGTTTCTCATGTAGCCAGCCCATGGTCACAACAAGAGTTAACTGTCAAGGCCATCATTTGAACTGAGGTCTTCTGACTCCTAGTCAGGGGCATGCTTTTTGCCACCTCATGTTGGTGGCCTTCTCTCAGGCTGGGGTCATTTCCAGCACTTTGGGCTCCCACGGGCCAGAGCAAGTACCCAACTTCTTTGATTGGGCTCACAGTTTCCCTTTTAAGCCCAGCCGACCCACTCCCTCCCTGAGCCTCCCAGAGGAGGGGAAGTCAGCCTGCCTTCTCTGCCCGGGCCTGCAAAACAAGCTGCCCCCATTTCTCCTAGTTACCAGGCTTGTCCCTTCTTCAGGTCCTCCAGGTGTGGTCATTTGGCTGGACCAGCACATCCCTCATGGCTGCCCAGTACAGAATGAAGTAGGAGTTTTTATTTCCTGTGAGGATCTATCTATTGATGCTCCCGATGATTTACACTGCGTTTATGAAAAGGGGGGAGGGGAGAGAAAGAGAGGAAAAGAGGGAGGAGAAAAAGGGAGAGGGAGGGAGGGAAAGAGAAGAAGATGATGATGACAATGAGGAGGAGGAGGAGGCAAGAGAGACAGAAAGAAGAAGAAGAAGAAAAAGAAGAAGAAGAAGAAGAAGGAGAAGGAGAAGAAGAAGGAGGAGGAGGAAAGGAGGAGGGGGAGAGGGAGGAGACAAAAGAGAGAGAGAGAAGACGAGAAGAGGAGACGAGAGGAGAGAAAAGAGGGGTGGGAGAAGAGAGAGCTATTTGGTTAAAGGGGTCTGCCTTTGTGTCAAGGAGGCCTGGATTCGAGCCCTGCCTCTGTGACACACTACTGTGTGCCTGGGTTAGACACTTGACTTTTGAAAGGCTGTGGATTTTCCACAGATCTCCTCCTGAAAGAGATCCCCAAAGGAAAACTCCTAGGAATCTTATAGCCAAATTCCAGAGTTCCCAGGTCAAGGAGAAAATATTACAAGCAGCCTGAAAGAAACAATTCAAGTATTGTGGAAACACAATCAGGATAACACAAGATTTAGCTGCTTCTACATTAAGGAACCACAGGGCATGGAATATAATACTCTGGAGGGCAAAGGAGATAGGATTACAACCAAGAATCACCTACCCAGCAAAACAGTATAATCCTGCAGGGGGAAAAATGGTCATTCAATGAAATAGAGGACTTTCAAGCATTCTTGATGAAAAGACCAGAACTGAATAGAAAATCTGATTTTCAAATGCAAGACTCAAGTGGAACAGGAAGAGGTAAACAGAAAAGAGAAAATCATAAGAGACTTATTAAGGTTGAACTGTTTACATTCCTGCATGGAAAGATGATATTTGTAACTCATGAGACCTTTGTCAGTATTAAGGTAGTTGGAGGAGAAAAAATTATATGTATGTATATATAGATATAGATAGATAGATAGATAGATAGATAGATAGAGGGCACAGGGTGAGTTGAAAATGAAGGGGTCATATCTGGAGAATAAAATTAAGGGGTGAGAGAGAATTATACTAGGAGAAGGAGAAAGGGAGAGGTAGAATGGGGTAAATTACCTCACCAAAAAACAAACAAACAAACAAACAAACAAACAAAAAAGAAAAGGCTCTTACAGTGGAGGGGAACCAGGGAAAGGTGAGATGGATTGAGTGAATCTCATTCTCATAGGATTTGACTTAAGGAGGGAATAACATACACACTCAATAGGGTATGGAAATCTGTCTTACCCTACAAGAAAATGGGGGGGAGAGGACAAGAGAATAGGGGAATGATAGAGAGGAGGGTAGATTGGGAAAGAGGGTAATCAGAAGCAAATACTTCTGAGGAGGGACAGGGTTAAAAGAAAGAATAGAATAAACGGGAGGGGAGCAGGATAGGATTAAGGGAAATAGAGTTAGTTTTTCACAGCATGACTACTATGGAAGTGTTTTGCATAACTGCACATATATAACCTATATTTAGTTGCTTGCCTTATCAATGAGGGTGGGTGGGGAGGGAGGAAGGGAGAAAATTTGGAACCCAAAGTTTTAAAAACACATGTTTTAAAAAAAAATGTTTTCACATGCAACTGGGAAATAAGAAATACAGGAAATGGGGTACAGAAATCCATCCTGCCCTACAGGAAAATTGAAGAGGAAGGGGATAAGAAAAGGGGGGAGAGATAGAAGGGAAGGCAGACTAGGGGAAGGGGTATTCAGAACGCATGCCATCTTGGGGCGGGGGGAGAGGCGAGATGGGGTGAAAATTTGGAACTCAAAATCTTGTGGAAGTAAATGTTGAAAACAAAAAAAAAAATAAAATAAATAAAATTTTTTTTAAAAAAGAGAAAAATTTTCCCCCCCCAAAAAAATAAGAAAAGAAAGAAAGAAAGGCTGTGGATTTTGTAACACTCTGTACTGGCCAAGGCATCTTCTTCCCAGTGCCCATTGAGTGGCATACTGTGAGGGTGGGGCTGTCTGGGGAAGGGGACATCTCACAAGGCATGAAGGGTTGGATCAGAGGCAGATCTCAAGGGCAGGTAATTCTTGCTCTCTCCAAAAGCCTAAGAGACTCTTGTAAGCCATTAGGAGTTTGTCCCCCTTGCCCCTGGGCCAACAATGGAGGTGTGAATAGTGCTCTATTCTCCACTGCTCTGAAAATCCTATTCAAGTCCATTGTTAGGCTGTGGGCTGCCCCAGTTCCTGATCACTGTGCTCTGAGAAATGGAAAACCCAAGAGAGCTGAGCCATAGCCTTAATTCCAATTAGTTGTGCTAGTCAAAATGTCATCATTGTGCGCCCCTGGGGTAAATGCTGTGTACGTGTGTGTATATTTTTGTGTTGTATGCCTATGTGTATGCATGTGCATTTGTGTGCATATGTGTGTATATATATATATATCGTGTGTGTGTGTGTGTGTGTGTGTGTGTGTGTGTGTGTGTTGGGGAGAGAGGAGGAAGAGGAAAGAGTTAGCCATGAGGCCACAAGCCCCCACTGAAGGGATTCCTCCTTTCTCCCCCTACACCCACCCTCTACGTCATGACCTTACAGGGGAAGGAGAGCTATTGGGAGCCCATTGCCCCAACTCTCCACTTCCCCATGTCTTCAATCACACCAAAAAATACCTCTGCCTGCCACCTCTGTCAATCCCCTATTACGTTCTAGCCCTTGTCTCCTCAGGGTAACTTCTATCCATCACCTTTGCCATGTGCTCCAGCAATCTGCCTAACTCCTGACACTTCTAGACACCCTCCTGGCATGGCAGTCACCCCTCCCTTCTACAGCTTCTGTCCATGACAGCCCAGTCGCCTGCCCCTCTCTCTCCTGCCCCCCCCAACCCCCATCAGTGACCCAGACTTCTAGATATTGAGAAGTTTGAATTATAATAATATTGGTGAAATTCATCTCATTTTCACACTACTTTTAAAAAAAAATGCTTTCTTTATATACAGGTATCAGGATTTCAGACAATCAAATCCAGTACCTAAAGTCCCATGGGGAACAGAACGGGAATATGGTGCCATGGTACCAATTTCAGTGCCAGAAGAACATAGACCAAAACCAGAGCCTCCTCGCTTCTTCGGCAAAGGACATAAGCATTATGGCTTTGGTGGAGACCCCTGGCCAAGGTTTGTTTTTCCTTTGGTCCTAGTTAATTGTGCCTTCCGTTCTCTGCCTGCTGCCCAAAACCCATCTCATTAAGTGAAATCATGCAGAATACAAGAAATGACTGGAACAAAGATGGGAAGGTACTAAACTTGGTGGAACTTTGATATGACATATTTGATATTTAAATAATGATATGGACAGGACCTAGTCTCCTGAGAATTCCATCCCTCATAAGCCTGTGGGAAGCCTAGGAGGTATTGATACTTACCTTAGCATGGGGCAGCTAGGTGGTGCCATAGTACACAGAGCATTGGACCTGGAGTGAGGATGACTCATCTTCCTGAGTTCAAATCTGGCCTCAGACACTTACTAGATGTGTGACCCTGGACAAGTCATTTAACCCTGTTTGCCTCAGTTTCCTCATCCGTAAAGTGAGCTGGGGAAGGAAATGGCAAACCGCTCCAGTATCCCTGCCAAGGAAACCCCAAATAGGGTCACAAAGAGTCAGACTTGACTGAAACAACTAAACAACAAATACATCTGCAGCACGTAACATCACCCAATATACTCTACACAGGCTGATGGGGGATGGAGTCCCCAAAGAGTTCATGTGTCACCTACGTAAGTACAAAGCATTCCTACTGTGAACTGCTGAATGACCACCAACCTTGCCTCTTCACTCCTCTGTCCAGCCCCTCCCTAAGAAGTCCCACTTTTCTGCCTTAATAGCTGTACTTGTATCAGTATAGATGCCCTTCAGGTGTCCCAGGGTCCCCTTCATCCTGCCCCTCCTGCTCCCCAAGCTGCATGCCAGGTGATGCCCCATCCTAGTACCCTGCAAACCCTAGTGCCTTGCAGACAGGTCTAACATCTCTAAAAGCTAGGGTTGATCTCACTGTCTGACTCACTGTCATGGTCTCATTTTTAAGGAGACAGACACATTCAAGTGTTAAGTGTCTCATTTCTGCAATGCAAGTTTAATGTTCTGGTTCCTACAGACTGGAAAAAGCTATGCAACTAATAAGAGCTGGCTCCTGGAGTATTAGGCATAACCCTAAATAAAACCCTCTTACGTTGTCCAAAATGAGGTCTCCCAGTGACTAAGAAAAGCCCCCAGTTCTGGGCACCAGAAAGTAAAGTTATCTCTGAAGCAGATTCATGTCTTTGTGTGGTCAGTATGTAAAAGTGAAAAACAGACTTCACTGATCTGGACGCTTCCACCACTGTTTATTAGACTTTTTTGATGCTGAGTAGAATAAACCCTTTCTGATAAAAATATAAATGATTCAACTTTGGGCTAAGGTGGTTTCATCTGTCCTAGTGCAACCTAAAGCCATGGTCTGCTCCTGAGGGCACCACGCTCCAAGTCCAAAGATCAGGTAAGCTTAGATCAAGATGCAGACCTATGGGGCAGCTAGGTGGTGCAGTGGATAGAGCACCGGCCCTGAATTCAAGAGGACCTGAATTCAAATCCGGCCTCAGACACATAACACTTACTAGCTGTGTGACCCTGGACAAGTCACTTAACCCCATTGCCTAGCCCAAAAAATAAAAATAAAAAATGCGGGCTTATGCTGGCTTCCCTACAGTACCATTAGGTGGTGACTCGTGTTCAGTCCAGCCACCGGCAGGTTTATTCAATGGGTGGTGGAGAACAGTATTAATGAGTTACCCATCAGTACATCCCTGAGGTGTGTCCTCCCTCCAGGGGTGCACATTGCAGCTCATCCATGCCTTCCATATCTCTCCTTGAAGCCTCCTCAGAGGATCCTTCCAACACTCTGGGGAGTCTTCCCTGCGTGTTCTTAGAATGGAAATGATGGTGACTTAAAAAAAAGAAGAAGAAGAAATCCTATTCTCTGCATCTTAATTAGTTTATTAAAAAACATCTTCTCTACTATGTTTTGCATGATTTCACTTGCATAATTGATATCCTGTTTCTTGTCTTCTCAGCGGGTGGAGGAAAGGAGAGAATTTGAAACTCAAAAAACATTTTTAAAGAATGTTAAAAATAAAAAAGGATTTTTAAAAAAGAGATCATGCCTGCTCATCGTGAGAGGCAGGAGGCCTGACACCTACTAGCTGTATAACCAGGGCTGTGTTGGCACATACTTTACAAGCACCTCTCCCAAAGGATGCACTGTGAAGCTGGATCCATGCTATTTTTCTCCATCACTTTCTTAAGTCTAGACAATGGACAGAACAGTAATCAAGCCCTGATTTGTAGCATTTGCCAATTTCCAAGGTGTAAATGTTCACACTAAACATTTAACAACCAACTCCCCGGAGCCAGTGCGAGCTGGCTCCAACACGGCTTGTACAGCTTATACCTGCTCTAGGGTCGAGTCTCAGTTTCTCAATCTGGAAAATGGGAGACAGTGATACATATGTAAAAGCAGCCATCCCTTCAGGGGAGTATGCCTAGAACTGCCCTGCCCCACTCCAGGGAACTGCGAGGAGCCCAGGTTCAGCCATGAGCTGCAGGAAGGGTGGCTGCTGTAACCTGGGCACAGCCAAGCTCTCTCAGGTGCGTTGGTGATTAGGAAATGCTGCACCAACAGGAGAGGCTGGTTTTGTTTTGTTTTTTAACCACTGAACTGAATGAAGTTCAGTCCCCATATGAAAACCCCGCTGCATCCCTGGTGCTTTGGTAACTCACTAATCATTGCATTCAAAGAATAAAAATGCTACTTGAAATGTCCTTCCAATGTGAGGGGATGGACTGTGGCCTGCGGCAAAGAGGATGACAAAGCTGACTCTTTCTCTCATCACCCACAAATAACTGTAAAATCATGAGCACTGGGGAAGACTGAGCTATAATCAGGGCCCGGATGCTTCTCAAAGAAAGAAGGAAGTGAATGACAAATGCTGTTTTTCCTGGGCTCCATTCAACAAAGGAAAGGGCTTGTTTCATTCTTCACTTTGGGAGCTTAATTAAAGGCACTGAATCCACATTCTACACTCTGGGCATGCACAGAATAGACGTTATTGCTCAGGGCATGGATCTGTTAACAAGAATTTGTTAGATGCCTACTGTGTGCCCAGCCCTGGGCCAGGCAATGAAGATATAAAGAATGAAATCATCTCTTCTCTGAAGGAGCTTCCGTCCTCATGGAATGAGCCACAGACAGTGGACAGGATGCAGTAGCCGAGTTCCTTTTATATAATGAAAGTCATGGGAATTGCAGCAGTGAATTCTCCCTGGCCCCTCTTACGCCCAAGACTTCAGAGAACCAGAGTTCTCCTCCATCTTTATGATCAGACTGGGGAAACCATGACAGAGTACGGGCAGCGTCTCTGAGAGAGCTTCTGCACACTGAGGGGGCTGCCTGCTAAAGAATATCTCATTATCCAACCCTGCTGGATGTCAAACATAACCCCCTTAAGGGAGCTGGCCCCTGGGGGCTCCTGCCATATTTTATTCCTAATGAGCAAAAATCTTTGAAAAGAAGGACTTAAGCACAATGCAATGAAGTCAGCGTGGCACGTGGCACATGGTGTGTGGCACGTTGTGCATGGTACATGGAAAGAGCTTTGAATTTGGAGGCCAAGGACCTTGGTTCAAGGGGTACCTCTACTACTTATTTCCTTGGGCAAGTCACTGAACTTTCTCTGTGCCTTAGTTTCTTCATCTGTCAAAATGAAGGGTTGGACAAGATAAGACCTCCAACATCCCTTCCATCTTTAGACCTATGACCCATGATTTTTGTGAGCTTAGGTGCCAAGTTGCCAAATTGCTGGGGGGAAAAATAATTTAAAAAATCATTGCTTTTAAAAACAATTCACTTGCACATTTGGAAATGAAGAGACATAAGTACAATTGAAAATAACTTACCATTAGCTTTTATCCTGCAAATGTAGATTCCCAGAGAAAATGTAAAACCTAGAATGGACAAAGTATAGATAATTATTTGTACTTTCCAGATACCATCCCCTGCTCTAAAATGACAGACATACTGTCTCTCAAGTTTCCAGAAACCTTTGTCTTCATGGCATATACCCCCCCAGTAGAATATAACCTCCTTGAGATCTTTGAATCTTAAGGCACAGTGCCTGGCACACAGCAGGTGCTTAACATTGATTGAATTTAAATTAACATTTTTCTGAGTTTGTGGGAGGTTTGGCCAACTTTCTTCTTCTCCAAGGACTAAGAACAGGGCTCTTTGTGGGTTGGACTCTAAAATTAAACAAATCTTTCTCCTTCTTTTCAGAGGCATTCCTATCCAACAGTTCTATCACCTGACACAGAACAAGAAGAGTAATCTTTATGATAATGACTCCTTGTAAGTTTCAGTCAACTATGATATCCTGTGACTTTTGGGAAGGGGAATCACTGTGTAGCACAAATGTTTTATGTTCTTCTAGGATGCCAAAAAGTGATGACTGAGAAAGGGAAAATTTGTAAAAAAAAAAAAAAAAAAAAAGCCAATAAGCAGAAAGTGAATAATGGCAGAATCATTTATAATCACCAGAAAATAGCTTGGGAGTAGTATGTGGGGAGCTCAGATTGCTGGTCAGAGGGCTTTTGTCCTGCTCGTCTGGTCCAGGAACCAGAGATCCAAACTGGGGGTCAGGGGATCTGGGTTCTAGGTCTTGTTCTATCATCTCTCCTCGTGAGACCTAAGGGAGCAGGAGACAACTTTATGGCCTTCCAATTCCTGCCTGCTATGATTGTCCACCGGCGCTATACCTTTAGTAGACTCACGCTGAGTCCATCTCAGACGGAAGACTGATTGTGGCACAAACAAGCAACAATTCCAATATATCACGAGTCCTGCTGATAGAAAGCCCTTCCTTGTATCTGACCTAAGAGGCTCTAATTTATCCTCTGCATCTCTTATGTGAGCCCAGTTATTTATGAGTTGTCTCTCCAATTAGACTGTAAGCTCCCTGAGGGCAAGGAGAATGTTTTCCCCTTTCTTTGTACTTCTAGCATGTGGCATAATACAGACGTGCCTGCTCAGAGAGGCTCCGAATTTCAGGTCATGAGGTGACCTTAGACCCAAGATGTCCCAGGACTCCCAAGTCCCAGCACAGTATGAGCCTTGGCAAACATCAACAAGCCAGGGATGGTTAGAAGCCGCAGCGTGATTATCTCAGGGACCAAAAGCAGATAGTAAGCACTTTATAAATACTTGTTGACTGACTGGTTCATTTCATATTAAAAGACCCCAGCAACAGTCACTGCCCTGCTTTAGAAATAGGTCTCTCAGCCTTTCCTTATCCAGCCCCAATATTCTGGCTTCTTTTAGCCTTCTCTTGTAGATACTATTTTCTATTTTTATACACAACCATTTAGGGCGTATGTGGCATGCCATATGCATATTCCGAATAAAAGTAAACTATTTTGTTGTTAATTAGGGAGAAAAGCTCACCATACTTAAAGGAAGACTTGATTGAGCACAGAAATAGAAATAAAATTATTATGGGGTTCCTTTTTTGAGGGTGGAGGTTTAGCTAAATTGTGATTTCATGGGTTTAGCAAATTCCATAGGTTGCTGCTCCACACTAGCAAATAAACAGCATTATAATTTTTTATTATTCACTTTTCATGTGCAGGGTGTCCCAAAAATCTTAGTGTGGGTTTAAGCTTTCATAGCTTAAATGCATGCGTGCTTAGAGACACACACCTTGCCTTCTACCTTCTTTGAAAACGAATGTGTTAGTATGTGAACATCTTTTAAATCTAGAATTGCCTAGAGTTGGCCTGAGGCCCTTCCAACTTGAATATTCTAAAGTTCTAGGGTAAAGTGTCCATTTATTTTTTATTCTAAGCATCTTCCATAAATATTTTGAGAAATTGAAATGTCAATATCAAGATCAGCCACTGGAGGGCACTACAAGCACATGCAATAGACAACTGGTCCTGCTACCTTTTTCAGAGACACCGGGATGTCTGAGTCTGGTCCTTGCAAAGCAGATATATAATCTCACAGCAGGACAGGAAAATTGATGAGCTGGTTTAGGTTCAGGAAATGGGCTGTCTGAGCCTCTGTGCCCTGCAGTCCATCATTCAGGGAGTTTGCTGTGTGCTTTGGGTATTTAGTCAACTGATGGCATCCAATTTATTTTCAATTTGATTTGCCAGCGTTGTCCAAGTATTTTAAAGAGATATTCTTGGATAGTAACATAGGTAGAGGGAGTTTTCTTACTGGGAGCTCCCTACATCTGAGTCACAGATGGAATAGAAAACCAACAGGGCCCAGATAAACTTGTCATTTGAATGCCCAACAGGATGAAAATATAGTACATTTAGAAATGGAAGATGCTTTACAGAGAAGCTCTGTGATTTAGTGAGAGAGCCCTGGATTCAAATCCCATCTTTGAACACTTAGTATCTGTGTGACCAATGACAAGTCTCTGGTCCTCAGTTTCTTGATCTGTAAAATAGGAAAAAACAAGCCCTGTAGCAATGACCCTGGGAGCAGCTCAATGTTAACATGTATTAAAGCACTTCACACATGTTAAATTGCAATGTGAATGTCAGTATTATTTACATCTAAATTCTGGTGCATTTCTTCTGCTTTTAGAGAACATGTAGTAAACCTTGAGAAGCAATGTGGTACACTAGATAGTGAGCTAGCCTCAATGAGGTCAGAAAGACCAGGGTTCAAGTTCTACCATTGAGATATCCTGGCTACATCACTCTGAGCAAATCACTTTACCTGTTACTACTCCAGGCTACTCTAAAATGATAAGTTACAGAACATTTTTTATTATATTCTGAGGGAGGATTTTCCTCATCAGTAGCTTTCTATCATCACAAAACCACAGGTCCAGACCATATTTAATCTTAATAAGCCACTGCAATGACTGCTGTAAGATCGTGTGGATTTAGAGATGGAAGGGATTTTGAAGGTCATTGAGTCTGATTCCCCTCATTTTACGTTTCTGCCCTCAGGGAGCTCACAAGCTAACCAGGGCAAGGGTATTCTGGAGCCAGCTAGAACCAGGGAACCAAGTGTTAAATTTTCAGTGTGAGCATTAGAAATCGACAAATGCTACAAATCAGAGCTTGATTTATTGTTTCATTGTCTAGGCTTAAGAAAGTGGTGGAGATTAAACTTAACAGTATGGCATGCATACTTTTTTTTTCAGAGAGCTGGTTGTTAAATATTTATACTAGCACACCCCTGAGTGGGGAAGTCAATATGCAAAGAACTATGTCCAATAAGCTGTATATAGGATAGATTAAGAGTAGTCTCAGAGAGAAGGCAGTAAGGTTAAGAAGGACTGAGAAAGTCTTCTCGCAGAAAGTAGGAATTTAGCTGAGACTGGAAAAGAGCGGAAAGTGAAGCAGAGGAGAGAGACAGAGTTCTAAGCATGGAGGACATCCAGCTGGGAGAGTCAGGAGATGGAGGGACAGCCAGGGGGCGGTGTCACTGGCTATATGACTGGCCTACGCTCATGAAGTTATTAGGGGGTAAAGCTTAGGATTCGAATCCAAATATTCTGACTCCAAGTCCAATGAGCACTTTCCTGCTACAACCTTTAAGGTCAAATTTAGGGGGAGGGTTTTATTTTGTTTTGTTTTTAAGGAAACTATGTGTGTGTGTGTGTGTGTGTGTGTGTGTGTGTGTGTGTCTGTGGGTCTGTGTGTCTGTGGGTCTGTAGTGCCCACCTCCCAGGGCTGTCTTGCCAATCAGATTTCCAAATCTTAAATAAAGCCCTCTATACATGAGAGCTACATCCATCCCTACCAGGGGCCAGTCCCAGGTCTCCAACCATGCCAGATTTCTTAGAATATAAACAAAGCTCCAGAACCTTTGGCTGGGCCAACTTTGGGCTGAGCTGGTTGGGCCTGGGGAGGGGGAGTGAAGGATTGGGGGAGGAACCTCCCAGGTCAGAATATACTGCTAATGTTCATTGCATCATTTAGAGATGATGACGTAGGTGTCTTCACGGCTCCAGTCCAGTGGGGTAAAAGCTTTTGCCCTCCTTTCACCTCCTCTGAGGTCATGGAGCTGGGCCAGGCCCACACTATCACAGGATTTCAAAGTCCCCAACACAGTATGAGCCCTGGCTGAGAGTAAGACCAGAGAAGGCCAGAAGCCAGAGTGTGATTATCTCAGGGACCGAAGGTAACTGCCAAAGTCCCGTCAGGGCGGGTGGTAGATTGCTCTTAGAGATGCTGACCAGTTAGAATGGAAGACAGGAGAAGAGAGGGCAGGCAAAGCTTAGCCTCCGAGCCCCGGGCAAACAGGCTCTGTATGAATACATCTTCTAGTCTTTGTTCTTTGAGTTTGGAAGATCTATTTGTTTCTTAAATAGCCTTAAAAAGCCCTGCTTTAAACCCATTTCCTTCACCTCATTTTGTTCTGTTTTCCTTTTTTTCTCTCCCAGGCTTCCTAAACCACTCCATACCACAGCAGAGTGAGTATTCTCCTACCCACACTGAATCTAGGACATTGAGTGACTTACCAGGCAGCCCCTGCCCTGGAGGGGGGGCACTTATATGTATGGCGAGGGGGAAAGGGGGGGCCTCTTTTTTAAGAAAGGCTTTATTTAACACTCTAAGTGATTTCCCTCCCATTAAGCGCCCAACCAATGGCAAATGAAAATTGAATTTTTCCTTTTTTCTTAAAGTGCTTTTTGACACAGTCAGTGCATATTTTAAAGAGCCTTAAAATTAAGGTCTGCAGGGTTAAAAAAAATTCATTTTGAGCAGCCAATCATACTATTTTCCAGCCTCTTCTTATCTGCAATTAGCAGAGTGAAAAGCATCAACATGGAGAAATTGGGCTGTTTTTCTCAGGCAGATGGCCCTGTTTTTTAGCATTCTGCACATAGTACTGACAACTTTCACAGGTGTTTCTCTGCTAGAAGCTTTTCCAATTTCTCTTTACTAGAATGGCAATCTCTCCGAGCAGCTCGCCGGGCAGGCTAAGGTTAGGGCTAGCCTGTGGGTGCCGTAGGAGGCAGTGGGTTTCACTCATTCCCAATCAATCAATCAACTTGCATTGGGTGCCTACTATGTGCTAGGCACCTTGCTAAGTGTGGGGGATAGAAAAAGAGGCAAAAGACAGTACCTGCCCTCAAGGAGTTTACAATCTAGTGATGGACACAATATGCAAACAAAGAGCAAATTATATACAGGATAAATAGGAAATAATTAACAGAGGGAAGCCCTAGAATGAAGAGGGGCTATGGAAGGCTTCCTGTAGAAGGTGAGACTTTAATTGGGACTTAAAGAAAGCAAAAGAGGCCAGTAATCAGACTAGAAAAGGGAAGGTGTTCCAGGCATGGTGGACAGCCAGAGAAAGTGCTTGGAGTATTTTCATAAGATGGAGTGCCTAAGTATATCTTGTTCATGGAACAGCCAGGAGGCCAGTGTCACTGGATCAAAGAGTATGCCTCAGGGAATAAGTTTGTAAGAGACTGGAAAGGGAGGAGGCGGTTAGGTTGGGAAGGATTTTGAATGCCAAACAGAGCAATTTTGTTTGATCCTCAGGTGAGTAAACAGGAGTTTATTGAGTAGGGGTGGAGGTGACAAAATTGGACCAACACTTTAGAAATATCACATGGGTAGATAAATGGAGGATGTTCTGGAGTGGGGAGAAACTTGAGATGGGCAGACTGCCTCCCCTGCAGCTGGCTATTGCAATGGTCCAGGTGGGAGGTGATGAGGGGACCTGCACCAGAGGGGTGGCAGTATCAGAGGAGAGGAAGAGGCATATTCGAGAGATGCTGCTGAGGTAGAAATAATAGACCTTAGCAATAGCTTGGACATGGGGGTGAGACATATGACTCCCAGGTTGTGAGCATTAGGGCCTGGGAGGATAGTGGTGCCCTCTACAATAACAGTGAAGGCAGGAGACAGGGAGCATTTAGGGGAAAGATAATGAGTTCTGTTTTGGACACGTTGAGTTTAAGGTTCTACTGGACATACAGCTCAAGATGTCTGAAAAGCAGTTGGAGATGTGAGATTGGAGATTAGCAGAAAGGCTAGGACAGGATTTGAGTCATCAGCAAGAGATGGTAATTAACTCCATGGGAGCTGAGGAGATCACCAAGTGAAGTAGTACAGAAGAAGAGCAGAGGGTCCAGGACAGAGCCCTTAGGGACATCTATGGTTAGAAAGAACGATCTGGAGGAAGAGATCGGGCAAAGGAGACAGAGTGGTCAGAGAGGGAGGAGGAGAGCCAGCATGGAGGGGTGTCCTAATGACCTAGAAAGAAGAGATTTTGAAGGAGGAGAAGGGGATCATCAGTGCCCAAGGGTGCAGAGAGGTCAAGGAGAATGAGCATTGAGCAAAAGCCTTTGGATTTGGCAATTATGAGATTAGTGGTAACTTTGGAGAGAGCAGTTTCAGTGGAAGGATGAAATCAGAAGCCAGACTGTAAAGGGTTAAGCAGAGAGTGAGAGGAGAGGAAGGAGAGGCACCGATTGTAGATGCCTTTTCAAGGAGTTTAGCTACAAACAGCAGAAGAGATATATATTGATGGTTGGCAGGGATGGAAGGATCAAGGGAGAGTTTTTTCAGGTAGAAGAGACATTGGGCATCTTCGTAGGCAGAAAGAAATGAGCCAGTACAGAGGGAGAGATGGAAAATGAGTGAAAATTTGGGGGATGACAGAGGGATTGGTCTGCTGGTGAGCAGGTGGACGGGTTGGCTTTGGTCAGGGGTAAGGCCACCTCATCATGGGAGGTGCAGGAGGAGAAAGGGGCAGAAGGCCCCTGAGGTAGCTCACAGCAAATGGCCTCCATTTTCTTCTGCAGCCAACCTGGCCCACAGCCAGAGGCAGAGCTGGGAAAAATGTTGAGGCTGGTGGAACCAAGGCCTTTCTTCCTTTCACTTCTTTCTATTTCAACTAATGGTTGTCATTTTTCAAAAGAAAAAAAGTGTGGCCACACCCCCGGGGGCTACCATTTCATTTTCTTCCCATTGCCTGTGTGGTCACAGCCCCAGATCTCCAGCACTCTTGTTAAATAAAGCGAGACAATTTTGGCCTCGAGATTTGTCTCGATGTCTACCCGGTTGTTAGTGCTTTCTCCCTCGAGGTAGCCTTGAGTTACTCTGTGTAGATACTAGATTTACTTACCTGTGTATCTGGTGCAAATCTCTCCCCCCACCACGCAGGCAAATGTAAGCTCCTTGAGGACAGGCTTTGCCCCCACTCCCTTTTTTGTCTTTGTCCTCAGGCTTCATCAATGTTTCTGGAATTGTGTTGAACAGAATGGGTTCTACTAGTGAACACAGCCCAGTTCAAGCACAAATGATTTTTCTTTAATTTATGCTGAAGTTAGCAGAACACCTATCTTTGAAGGCCAGACCATTCAAGGGCAACAACAGCCTTAATGCTATCAATGTACTCATTTCCATTCTATTTTGGTCCCCACCTCCTCTTTTTGCTGAAACTAACCCTAAGGCCACTGTGCGTGGGATTTCCAGTTGGACACCCCTATCAGACCCACATCTCTCGGTGTGCCATGTTCCCAACCTTCACCTCCCCGAAGGACATCAACACCAGCCTTGTTGCAAGTGTCCAGCAGCCTTTTCCTGCTACCATGCCCGCAGGGCCTTACGAGACAACCGTTCTGAAGAAAACAAAAGGTAAAAAAAGCATCATGCAATTTCAGAAAGTTGGTCATGGTCTTATAACTTCAGTCTGGGGTTTGTTGTTTTTGCTGTTGTTGAATCAACATTGAAAAAAGGGAACTCGGTAGCATGTACAGATTGACATGGGCTGAGCTAGCCCCAGTCCTACCTGTCCAGTCACTTGGATCAAAAGCCCATCCCTCCACTCCCATGGTTCTTCATGGTGTGGTCTTGGACCTGGGCTGCCAAGGGCCATGCCAGCAGGATGCAGCTTCTGATAGGTCCTAGACCAGACTAGAAAGGCATCAAGTATGTGAGTGGCTTTGAGAGACTGTGGCCTATTTATAAAGGATCCCAAATCTAATGCTGGAAGGGCCCCCAGAGGCCATTTGGTCTAAATCCTTTATTTTATACATGAGTAAACTGAAGATCCGAGTTGTTAAATGACTTCATCTTAGTCTGGACCTGGAAGGGACCTCAGAAACCAGCAAGTTCAACCACCTTTTACAAATGAGGCAGCTAGGTGGAGCAGTAGATATAATACTGGACCTGGAGTCAGGAAGACCTGAGTTCAAATCCAGCCTCAGATACTAACTAGTTGGGTGACCCCAGGTCCTCAATTTCTATCTGCTTCAGTTCACTCATCTGAAAAATGGGGATAATAACAGCACCTCCCTCCCAGGCTTGTTGTGAGGATAAAAATGAGATATTATTTGTAAAGTGATTTGCGAACCTTAAAACATTATATAAATGCTATAATTATTTTTGTTTTTATTATAAAACTGAGTCCTAGAATGGGGAATTGATACATGTGAGGTCACATAGCATCACACATCTAAAGCTGGAAGGAGCCTCAGACTGGTCCAAACCCTTAATCATTCAGATGAGAAAAATTAAGGCCAGAGAAATGATTTGCACCAGGTCACATAGCAGCAAATGTCGGAGGCAAGATTTGAACCCAGGTCTTTCTGACTCCAGGTTCTGCCCCTATCCACTATACCAGGTTACTCCTCAAGATTCTGTCTGAGGATGAGGCTAGCTAAACCCAGGGAGCCTCATTACTAGCTTCAGCAAAAATTCATCTAGATCTAAGAGGAGTCAGCATCTGGGTTGGGACAGGGAGGATACATGCAGACAAAATTGCTGATCCTTGAAATATTCAACAAGATGCCCTATATAAAACAGTATTCCATGGACTCTATTGTCCTATGAGTTGGTTTATATCCCTAAAAGCCTGGCTGGGGTGTGTCATCAGAGTGGGACCCTTTCTGTGAGTCATACGCCTTGAGTTCAATGGCCCACCTTGGCTCCTTCCAAACACCTGAGCCACCCAGAGGTACAAAAGCCTGGGGTGTAGTACAACTTCTCTGCAAAGATTTCCCTGCTGACTTCTAGGGAAGTGCTCTTTGCTGTCTCATTTGCATTTCTGTCCAATTCCATATCTTGAATTTAGGATCAACCTCATTCTCTCATTTTTCCATACATGTTCCTCCCACCACCACCACCCCACTCATCCTTGAGGGCAGAGACCACATCAGCTGCTCTCCATGGTGCTGAGGACAGACTTAGTTCGTACAATAAATAAACTCACAGAGTCAGTCATACATGGAAAGGACCTTAGAAATCATTGAGTCCAACACTGTGTTTTGCAGCTAAGGAAGCTAAGGTTCAGAGAAGGAAAGTGACTTGCTAAGATCACACAGAAACTTAGTAGCAAAGCCAAGACTGTCACAGAATCCCAGAATCTCGGAGTTAGAAGGGACCTCCAAAGGCTGTCTGCTCCAAACATTCATTGGGCCTAACCCAGAATCCCTTTCACAACATGGATTTTTAAAAATACCTTTTGTACATCTTTTACATGTTGTTTTCCTGGTATGACAAAAGGCTCCAAGAAGGAGGTGTGCTTAATAAAAGAAATGTAGCCCACCTGGCAGGTGAAGTTTTCCTCATTCTTTCCACATCCTCTTCTTCTTCTTCTTCTTCTTTTGTTGCTTTTTGGTGAGGCAATTGAGGTTAAGTGACTTGCTCAGGGTCATACAGCTAGTAAGTGTTAAGTGTTTTAGGCTGGATTTGAACTCAGGTCCTCCTGACTCCAAGACCAGAGCTCTATTCAACGTGCCACCTAGCTGCCTCTCCACATTCTCTTCTTGCCAATCTCTGTGGACCAGCCTGATCCCAACGTACTCCAGACCCCCCCCCCAATATCTATGGATAGGGACTGGAGTGTGATTGCATTGGCATAGGAAGCTCTCATGGTGGACGCTTCCTCTACCAATGCAGCACCTGCCCTGTTGTCTAGACAAAGTACAGAGAGAATCCTGCTTAAGAAACTTGCCGGGATCACATAGCCAGGATGTGTCAGAGTCAGGACTTACTCGAACCTGGGTCATGTTGGCTCCCAGACCAGCTCTTTATCCAGTTCACCAGGCTGCCTCTCTTCCCTCCTATCTGACTCCTGTCAATGATCTAGGGGTGCTTTCAGACTCTCCTTGACTCAGTGGTTCCCCACAGTCTGTCCTTTTGGCACTGTCCGTGGTGCTGCCTGACCCATCTCCCCACAGCTACCCATTCTGCCTGCTCCTCAGATATACCCTCTCAAAAGTTACCATTGACCTCCTATTTACCATATTAGGAGAGACATGGTCTTTTCTCAGTCTTCATTCTCCTTGACTTCTCGGTTCATCATTTCCTCTTTAAACCTCTCCTGTCATAGCGAAAAAGCCCTGGAGTTAGAGTTAAATTATCTGGTCTCAAATAACTTATCTTGGTCACTTATAACCTGTGAGAGCTTCAGTAAATCACCTAACTGTGGGGCAGCTGGGCAGTGCAGTGGATAGAGCTCCAGCCTTGGAGTCAGGAGGACCTGAGTTCAAATGTAGCCTCAGGTACTTGACACTTACTAGCTGTGTGAGTCTTACCCGGGTAAGTCTTTTAACCCCAATTGCCTCACCAAAAAAGCAAAAACAAAAACCAAACAAACGGTAAATCACCTAACTTCTCTGAGGTGCAGTATCACCATCTGTAAAATTCAGAGTTTTGTTCTAGAGGCCCTCTGGCTGTAAACCTTTGATCTCGTGATTGTACTATCCTCCTCCTCTGTAAATCAGGCCCCTTTATCTTCTTCCTGCATCTGAACTTTGGTTATTCCACAAGGCTTAGACCTGCATTTTTCACATTCTCATTGCTCTAATTGTCATCTCCACGTGGACCACTTTCAGAAATCTATCTCACATTGACATGACCAGCCCTGACCTCTCTTCCAAGTTCTAGGAAGCGTTTCTCTCATCAGCCCATCTACCAACAAATATTTATTGAGTGTTTGCTATATATTCACTACTTTTGGGCTCAAGAGGTAGGAGAATTGACTTCAAAATAATGAGACTAAGTCTTCTCTGTGACCTGAATAAGCAGAAGAGGAAATATGTTATCAACAGCCATGCTCTTAGAGTTGGCCTCCAATCTTGCTATCACCACTGTATTCAGTACAAGTGTGGTGTTTGTGCCAACTGAAACATGAATAGCCTTTATTTTAGGACAAAGAATTAATAACCAATGGAGTTTTCTTTTGATGCTTTAACATCTGCAACTGAGACATTTGACATGTTCCAAGAAACTTTTGGAGAAGAAATCATGTCAAGAGAAAGAGCTCGTGATGGGCACAAAAGGCTTTAAAGAAGTTAGGGAAGATTTCCATTAGGGAAGGACAAAGCAGTTGGTTTTGTCTCTAGAAGGAATGAAAATGTGGGGAAGGTCAAGGATCTGGTTCATTCTAATAAAAGCTTTTAAGAGTGATGCATGAAGAAAGAGAGAAATTGATTCATTCTGGAAAGAAAACTTGAGTATACGAAAGAGTGTCTCACAGACTCCCACCCACCCCATTCTTTTCAATACAAAGAGTGAATGCTTGGTATTTATTTTTATTTTTTAAGGAGAATAGATAAAAGTTTCTCAGGGAAAAAAAGTAACTATAAAATTCCATGAGGCCAAAAACTGTATTTTTGTAAAAAAAAAAAAGTTTATCATTATTATATTTTCAATTAACAAGCATTTTTATTAACCTGTCCTCCCAATACCCATCATGTCATTGAGCAAATAAAAAACCCTGAGAAATAAGGTCTTCAATATATAACCACATGATCCCCCAAACCAAACTGTCATATTGACCTTCTCTGAAAATGTTCAATCTGTTTCAGCATTATAAGTTTCATCACCTCTGTGTCAGGAAGTGAGCAGGATGTTTCAACTTCATTTCTTTTGGTCTCATGATTTATCATAGAACTGACCTCACCCGTCATGAGACAAAGGTCAATAACTCCTATGGTCACTATGCCCTCTCTCTCTCTCTTTCTCCCTCCCTCCCTCCCTCTCCCTCTCTCTCTCTCTCGTGGACAGTCACTGTATCATAGCTGACATTTCTATAATTCTTTAAGGTATGAGAAGTCCTTTACCAACAGCCTCAGTTTCCTCATGTGTAAAATGGGGATAATAACAGCACCTACCTCACAGGATTCCTGTGAGAACCAGATGTGATCATGTCTGTCAAACACTTTACAAACAGGTATCATTTCCCCCATTCTACCTGGTTGTTTCTGACTTAAAAATACAACAGCCTCTGTCCACATTGGCACCTGAATGTTGTTTTTTTTCCCCCTGGGATTTTCAGGTAATCCATATCGACATGAAAACCTCGATTTTCCCTCTGATTCCCGAAAGAAAGCCTTGCATTGGCCTGGGCAGCATGTGTATTACGACGTAAGTGGTTCTTCTTCTGAAATGAAGCCAAGCACCTTTGGGTAAAGTAGAAAGGGCCATGGCTCTGAGGCCAGAGGACCTGGGTTCAAATCCCCCTCTGATACTTCCTACTGTGTGCCCTTGGGTGAGTCATGCCATCTCAAGTCAATTCAGTTCTCTGGGCCTCAGTTCCCTCATCTGTAAAATGAGAGTGTGGATCTAGATGACCTCTGGGGTCTCTACCAGTGAAGTAGTATTTGCTGACTCAGAGTCGGAAAGAGCCTGGTGCAAAGGCCTGAGTTCGGTCCCAGCAGGCTAGGCTGGCTCCAATAATACAGAAGCAGAGGAGAGAGGGTGAGGATTAAGGACACTGAGGGCTAGGGAGAAACGCTGTGTGACCCTGGGCAAGTCACTCACCTCTCATGATGGAAAGGTCAGTTATTATCCCTCCTATTTTCATCATATCCTCTCTGTAGGAAGTCACCATATTGCATGGCTGACATTTCTGTGGTGCTCGAAGGATGCAGAATGGGGACACCCAGACTATTAGCAAAGAAAGAAAGAGTGAAAAGCACATGAGACCCAGACTTGAAAGAAAACCAAACAATTAGAAGCATCCTTCTGGTAACAAACTCCAAGGCAGAACACGAGAGTGACTCTCAGCATGTCCAGAAGTGTGTTGAAGAGAAAATGGGTTTTCACTGTCAGGTTCTTTTTCCTTTGGGGTTTAATATTCTCAGGAATTCAATGTGCTGCTCTGCATCATCTCAGAAGGTCCTCCTGTGATGAGTAAATGCATTATTTCATGTGAGAGTATGTTACCCAGCATGCCTTGAGCTCCTCAGACCAAAGCTGCTTGCTACATTCAGTACAAATGTATTATTTCTAGAGTAGACTTTTGGAAGGAACTGAGGAAGAAACCTCAGAGGATGCCTAGTTCAACTCTCTCATTTTACAAGGGAGGAAACTGAGGCACAGGGAGATGATTAACTCACCCAAAGTCACCCAAACTTGTAATGATAATGCCAGGATTCGAACCAAGGTCTTGTGACTTCACCTTCTGTGCTCTTCTCACAGCCCCAGAGCTGCTGTCTCCTTAAGGCTTATTGACTCTGAAGCCTATGTTCTCTCCCCTATACTGTACTAACATTCTTCATCTTTTTGTCTTGTATTTGGACATAGGATTTCATCAGTATAACTCTCTCCTTCAGTGCACATAGGCAGACGCTTTATAACTTATCCAGTGTGATCTTGGATAAGTCACTTCACCTTTATGAGCCTCAGTTTCCTCACCTGTAAAATGAGGGGTTGGACTAGATGGCCTTTGAATTCCCTTCCAGCTGTCAATCTATGTTCTTCTCTTCCCAGAGAGCTGCCTGGGGACACTGTCTTAGGGGACCTACCCATAGTCCATAACCAGTAAAAGCATCACAAGGATGTTTCAAAAGTGGGACTTAAACTCAGGGTCTTCCTGACTTCCAGACTGGCTTGTGGTTCAGTCTTTTCCAGTCATGGCCCCTTCTTCTTGCCTCCTTTGGGGTTTTCTTGGCAGAGGTCCTGGAGTGGTTTGCTATTTCCTCCTCCGGGTCATTTTACAGATGGGGAAACTGAGGTAAACATAGTGAAGTGACTTGCCCAGGATCACACAGCTAGTCAGTGTCCAAGGCCAGAATTGAACTCAGAAAGATGAGTCTTCCTGACCCTACGCCCAGCACTGTATCTACTGTGCCACCTAAATACCCAAAATGAAGTGTTCAGTTCCATCGTTTCAGCCACGTCCACCTCTTCATGACCCTCTTTGGGGTTTTCTTGGTAAAGATACTGAAGTGTTTGCCATTTCCTTCTCCAGTTCATTTTACAGATGGGGAAACGGAGGCAAACAAGGTGACGTGACTTGCCCAGGGCCATACAGCTAGTACGTGTTCAGGCTAGCTCTCTAACCACAATTCCATCCTACTTTTATTCATCTTGGTAAGAATGAAAAATTTCTGAGTCATACCACCAAAGATCGTAACATCATACATTCAGAATTGCAAGCGACCTCAGAGACCATCCAATATGACCCTCCCATTTTACAAACAAAGAAACTGAGGCCCATTTGCTATTGAATAGCAAAATCAGGATTTTAACCCATTTCCTCTGATTTTGAGATTAAGCCCATTTTCCACAGGCCCATGCTTCATTCCACTGGGCAAGAGTTTTGGCTCCTCAACTAACCAGAAAGAACACTGATGTTATTTCTGTGAACCTGGCCATAGCCTTGCAAACCCAAACAAATTTCCATGGAGGATTTTTAAGGGCTGCTTTCTCGCATGGACACTTCTAACTTTACATTTGTCTTCCATTTTTCTCTGACAATTTTCTTTTCTAAAATGCTCCTCTTATAAGCAGTTGTCCTGTGGTAATGAGTAAAGCTCAGTCAAACACAGAAACCCGAAACCTGGTTCTGACCTTTGTCCCTGAGGACTCCGCTGGCTCAGTACCAGCTCTTCTCCCAGTTAAATATAGCCAGCTACCATTTCCTGATTTCTCACTCAACCATAAGAACCTTTGGGGTTGAAGACTCGAAGCTGTATCTGGCAATTTGGGGCACCCACAGTCAGGGGCGAGCATGGTGAAACTACCTCTAATTCAACTTTGTAATCCACAAGGTGCAAATGAGACCAGAAGTAATGGAGAAATGCTCAGCTAAAAGGGAAGGGGAAACAGTTACTGTCGTGGCTTAAGGGGCAAAAGCTCGGAGTTGGAATACAATCCTGTCAGAAGTCACGTGCTCCAACGAGCAGGATTAGAGGTCCCATTTTCTTTCCATCCCACTGGAGATAACTGGGAGAGGAGAGCTGCCATATAGTCTGAAAGTACAGAATGGCCTTTGATTAGGGAGAACATCTTCTTATAGAGGTGAGGCAGGACGGAGGGAAAAAGAACAGCTGGGGAAGAAGCCAGGACAGTTTGGGTTTATGGGATGGAAGAAGAGAGTGAGGACCCCATGGACCTTAGGGCCCCTTGTAAATATGGCCAGGGATGTATTGTGATTAAGTAGTGTTTATTTTATCATCTCAATTACTAATGTCATTAGATAACATAAATATTAGTATCCTGCAACTTAAATATTATCATGAGTGAATGAAAGAACAGTCATTGAGTGGTTGCCATGAGCCAAGCAATGTGATGAGTGTTGGTGACACAGAGCCGAAAATCAAGACTGTCCCGGCTCCCTCAGCTCTTCCATGTCTCCAGGTAAGAGCGTGCCTTAGTCATTCCAGAAGCAATAAGAATTCACGCTATTAAAAATCCTAGGACCTATTCCACTCCTTCCTTCCAACCCAAATCTCCTCATGTTACAGTCTCATTTCCTCTAGTTCCAGCCTTGTTGAAAGGAGTAAATGAATGAATTAGGGAAAGAATAAAGGCAAAAGTGTGTATTAAGGGGCAGCTGGGTGGCACGGTGGATAGAGCACTGGCCTTGGAGTCAGGAGGACCTGAGTTCAAATTCAACCTCAGACATACAATACTCACTAGCTGCGTGACTCTGGACAAGTCACTTAACCCCAATTGCCTCACCAAAAAAAAAAAAAAAGTGTGTATTAAGTATGTACTGTGCTCCAGGCATTGTATGTTAAGCACTGGGGATGTAAATACAAGAAAGTCACACAATTCCTGTCCTTAGTGAGCTTATATTCTAATAGGGGACACAACACATAGAGTGGGAAAGGGGGGCTTGGGTCAAAGAATAAGGCAAAGGCTCACCTATGAGAGAGCTCAGGGTCCCTTTTAATCGTATTTTTCTGTATGGAAATCCTTCATATTCTCCAAGACATTGATTACAGTTCTGCTTTTACCATCTCAATCAACCAATCAATCATGCTTACATGCCTGTTCTGAAATTTTCAGTATCTCCTTAGTACTTAAAGGATCAAGCCTCCAGACGCTCAAAGAGACAGTGGCAGGTAGCAGATAGAGTGTGCTAGACCTGGCTATGTGACCTTGGACAAGTCAATTAACCTGTATAGGCCTCAGTTTCCTTATCTGTAAAATGGGAGGGGTGGCTTCTATGGCCTCTGAGATCCATTCTAGTGATAAATCTGGGATACTTTGAGGCCCAGACCTCTCACTGTTCACCATCTAGGCTTCCTCCTTCCTATTTCCCAGCCCTCTGCTCTTGCCAAACTGATCTACTCACTGTCTCTCTAACATAGCTTGTCCTGTCCAACCTTTTTTTTTTAAAAAAAAATTTTTATTTTTAGGCAATTGGGGTTAAGTGACTTGCCCAGGGTCACACAGCTAGTAAGTGTCAAGTGTTTGATCTGAGGTCAGATTTGAATTCAGGTCCTCCTGACTTCAAGGCTGGTGCTCTATCCGCTTCGCCACCTAGCTGCCCCTCTGTCCAACCTTTACGATTTAGTTTATTCTGTGCCCATGCTCAGCGTGTCTTCCTGGCCAAACAAAAATTCAACCTACTCTTCGAGGGCCAAATCTAATTATTATTATTAATACGACAACGAACATTTATATAGTCCCCACTGTATGCCAAGCACTTTACAAATATGATGTCATTTGATTCTTACAACAACCTTGGGAGATAGGAGATATTATTATTTCCATTCTACAGATGAGGAAGCGGAGGCAGACAGCGGTCATGTAACTTGGCCAGGGTCACACAGCTAGGCAGTGCCTGAGGCCAGATTTCCGTCCAGGTCCTTCTGACTCCAGGCCCAGGGCTCTCTCCACCGTGCACTGTGAGGCATTCACTGAACTCCTCCTCCATTGGATGTAATACATTGGAAATACTATGGGATACATTATGGTTCCCGTTCCTTGTCACTGTTTCTTTTCGGTTTCTAGCAGAGCTGGGCCTGGGTGGCTCATGGCGGACCCATTATACGCCGTGATCCTTAGCTACACGCAACCTTACTCAGAGCACGGCATCCCCCACTGCCCGCACTTTACTTTTCCTCCTCCTATGATATTGCCTGCAATTGTCATTAATGGACTTTGTTTATTTGCCCTGGATTGCTTCT